ACGGTAGTGATATAATATTTTCTTTTGACACATGCTTACTGGAGTAAGAAATGGGAGGCAAGGTAGAGTTGAATAGCAAGTGGATAATAGCACCAAAGGAAACTTTGAAGGCAATAAGGGAGTGGCAAGAGTTCTGGAACGTTCCGATGTGGCGTCGGGGATGGAGCAGGTGGGCTGTGAGAGCTGCAGCTTAGATGATGGGTGCGGGGAAGGTATTCAAGGAGAGGGCTCAGCTTGTGCAGAGGCAGAGGCACATGGCAGGGCCTCGGGTGCCAGGAAGGTGCTGAGTAATTCCGGGCAGCTGGATGGTAATATTAGGAAGCCAGCCCCCAGCACAGCACTTCACAGCTCACAAAGCACCACCGCTTCTGCTTTCTCAAGGACTCTTCTTAACTGCCAGGCGCAGTGGGCATTGTTGTCCCCATTTTTGAGATGGCAACTGAGGTCAGAGAGTGGAAGAGCCAGAGAAGAGCTGCTGTCTGCCTCAAGATCCTCGGGCTTCAAAGTCTACTCCACTGTGTCAGATATCTTTGGTAGCAAGCAACAGAAATATACTTGAATGTGTCTGAGCAACACAGGTGTTCATTGGCTCCTAGAAATAAAAAGTCCAGGGGTGGACATCAGATATGGCTGGATCCAGGTCCTCACGTGATGCTATAGGGATTCTGGATTGGTATTCTCAATATTGACATCGTTTTCAGGCAGGGTCTCTCTAAGAGGCAATAGAGATGGCTACAAGCTTCTAGCAGGTACCAAAGAAATGCACCTCTTTGCTAGAGTTCTAGAAAAAAAAACAAAAAAAAACACCCAGGACTTCTCTTATTGGCCTTGACTAGGTTGATGTCCACCCCTGATCCAATCACTGTGGCCAGACAGAGGGGGTGCTTGGATTGGCCAGGCCTGGGTCAGGTGCCCACTCGTGGAGCAGGGCGTGGAGTCGGCTCTGCCCGAAGCATTAGAGAATGCTCCAGATTGGGAGCTCCTCAAAAGGTGGGGCAGGGAGAGATGCCAGCCAGACAGAAGCAACAGACCCTTCCTCTGCATCCCCAGGGCCCTGCAATCTATGGAGAGCTAGGGAATTTGGAGGGATGAGGAGCCTTGCATCTGGCAAAGGAGTTTGCACTTCGCCTGTGGTTGAGATGGAGGCACTGGGGAGTGGCGTGGGCAGGGCTGTCTGTGCCGGGCCTTGTGCCGGGGCTGGGGTCACAGACGTGGACCCGACAGTGAGGCGCAGACACAGACCCCCCCTCCTGCGATCGGAGGTCACAAGGCTTGCGGCCACGCGGGCTCAGCCTTCCTTAAAGCAGGCTTAAAGGGCACCTATCTGCCCCAACATCATTTTATTTTAATAGTGATGTTATTCATTTCAAAGTGTGTTATAAAAAACACACAACCACGGACGTTACTGGAGTTAAGTTTTTAAGTGAGTTCATTCATAGAAAATATGCTAAGTAAATAACACAGGGCACACAGTGTACAAATAGGTGTACAAAATTTTGTACACAGTGTACAAAATTTTGAAAGTGAGAAATTGTGCAACCTCATGGCTAGTTCATTCTGGGACCCCCCTCCATCTCTGGGGCTCTAAATTCTCTGTCCATCGCAGCTGTTTATCGAGTGTTAATATGTCAGGGGCCACATCCAGGGTTTTTTGCAGTTCTCGAATCCTCACAAGAATCCTGGACGCAGGCTTTACTGTTGCCACTTTATAAGGCTCAGAGAGGCAAGGGACTTGCCTGGAGCCACACAGCCTGTGTCCTTCGACACTGCTTCCTTGGTGACTTTGTTAGGAAGGTCAGAGGGAACTAAGGATGGAGCCAGAGTAGAATCTGGGGGACCCCAGTAGCGGGGACGGGGAGCTTCCGATCGTGGGGTCAGGGATGGTGTCTGGGAAGAGCCGTGCATGTGATTGGGTCCTGCATGGGACACCCCTCTAGCCTCTAGTTCCAGCTACACCCCTGCATGGGGTGGGGCCTGTCTGTCTGGGTGGACCTGCTGGCCTCTGGCTGGCACCTCCCCAGACACACAGCTGGAAGGTGCAGCAGGCAAGGTGCCAGCCTGGCGGGTCGTTCCCCTGCCGAAGGGTCAAAGGCCACTCTTCCTGGATACACTCACCCTGCTGCCCAGAGAGCCTCCATCTCGGCCAGAGTCACGAGTCCAGGCTGCCTTTGTCTGGCAGGCCTGGCTTCCCTGGCGTGCCCCGTGGCGTAAGAAGCCTCTTCTTCGGCTAACCTTATCCGAGTGCTCGGCAGGGGTCTCCCGTGAGGGCTAGCCTTGGGTGTGTCCCTCCGTAAGAAGCCCAGGGTTGTTTATGGGAAGGAGAGCTCAAGGTTGCTGCTGTCCAAGCCGTTGCCTTCTTCCCTCCCTCTCTCCCACCTCCATCCCCCTCTCTCTCTTCCTGGGGTAGATAAACACCAGTTTGGTCTCAAGTCAGTGGGCCTAGCAAAGGCAGAAGAGCAGCAGTCTCCCCCTCTTCCACCTCCGGCAGGGACTGTGCCCACGCAGGGAGGCAGAGGGAGAAATGGGGAAGGACCCACAGGGGAATCACCCACGTCTAAGGGGCAGGATCGCTCGGGGGCATCCATGGGACCCTCACATTTTTGTTCTTTTGAGACAGAGCCAAGAATCAGAGGCAAGTCTGCCCAGCAAGGGACAGGGACAAGCGGGAGCCCCCAGGCCTGGGCCACCCTCCCGCAGGCCCCCCGCCGGCCCCCGGAGCCAGCATGCCCTGTGGCTGGACGGCCCTTCTGCTCCTGCTGGTGCTGCAGGGTGGTAAGTAGCTGCCCCGGGCCCCCCTCACCCCCCCCCTGCAAAGCTGAGCTGGGGCCCAGCTGGCCTTGTGGGCTCTGGGATGTGGTTAGAGTCCACGAACCCGGAATCTGTGGCCTCTGTCTGCCAGAGGCTAATGCCAGTTGCAAGCAGGTGACCCTCCCGTTAGCCAGAACCCATCCAGCCAGAGCTCCGTGAGCTGGGGGCGGCTCGTGCGGGTCAGCAGTGAGACTGGGAGGCCGCGGGACTTCATCCTTCCTTTCTGTTGCTTTCTGCCTTGGCTGGCTCCCAGCCCTCAGAGGGAGGAAGTCCTGCCTTTGGTCTAACCTCAGTTGCTCCTTATGTAATGACTTTCCTTGGAGATGGTTTTCAATAGTAGTCACTGGATCCTCAGGAGGCGTTTCCCAGGGGGCGGGGGGAGGGGAGGGAGAGACAAAAGGAGCCAAAGCGATGGCAGGAAGTCCCGCCAGGGGGACCAGGAGATGCTGCAGTCACAGGGAGAGACGTTGGAGCCCAGAGCTGGCAAGGCCAGGAGTCCCAGTGCGGAGGCACTGCCCAGAGCCAAGAGATCCAGGAGGGCTTCCTGGAGGAGGGGGCCACGAGGAGGCGGGATGCAGCCAGGGCTTGCACAGAGGCTGGCCCAGGGGCAGGGGCAGGGCGGGAACTCAGCTGCTGCCCTGCTGACTCATAGGCATTTTTTCTGGTTTTTACCAAAAGACCCAGCGCCTCAAATAGCTCCTTCAGGAAACACATGTCAGGAGTTTATTTTCCCCTTTTGAGTGGCCAGCATCACCCGCTGTGGCTCAACACCTCGCAGGGAGCAAGTAGCAAGCCCCTGCTGTATACTGAGCCCTGAGCGTCACCTCTTCAATTCTCCCCACGGCCCTGCGAGGTCCCAGCTGCAGTGAGGCCCGGCCTTTAGTTGAGGACGCTGAGGCTCAGAGCGGATGGGGAACAGGTCCAGGTCACACGGCCGGGCGGCGGCAGGGCTGGGACTGGCTCCCGCCTCTCACAGCCTGTTTTAGGGCCTCCGTGCCACTGTAACAAAACACCTGTGACTGGGCAATTGCTACATAGGAGAAGTCTATTCCGCACCGTTCTGGGGGCTGGGAAGTCCAAAGTCAAGGCGCCAGCAGGTCCGGTGTCTGGTGAGGGCCCTGCCTCTGCTTCCAAGGCGGCACCTGGAACACTGTCCCCTCGCCTGGCAGAAGGGACGGAGGGGCAAAAAGGGGCCAAGCGCTGGTTCCCTCCAGCCCTTTTAGAAGGCCACCCATTCATCTGCACAGGCTCTGCCCGCAGGCCTTGGTCACCTCCCAAAGGCCCCGCTGCTTAGTGTGAGCGCGCTGGCGATTGAGTTTCCACACGTGAGTTCGGGGACGCACACATTCAAACCACAGAGTGGCCCTAGCCACCGGGCTCTGCTGCTGCCTGGTGAGTGGCCACTGCGCGCAGGCAGTGTGTCCCCCGTCATCTCATGTCACCCCCTCAGCAGCCTCTGGGGGCGCTGTGTCTCCAGTTTGCAGACAGGGAGGGGAGGCGGTTTTGAGTCACATGTCCCTGGTCGCAGGGCTGGGAAACGGCACTGCCACTTTGATCCTGCCCCAGGTGTGGGGTGGCCAGGGCCCCGGCTGGCTTTGTCACTCCCTCTGGTCCCTGAAGCCATTTCAGGGGCTGCTGTTCCCTCCCCAGTGTTTCATCCCAAGTTTGGGGACAAACGTTTGAGCCTCCACGTTCCTGGAGCCCTGAGGGAGAACAACCAGGGCACAAACTCAGAGGAGACACAGCCGTCTGGAGGCTTCTGCAGCCCTGGGTTTAGATTCTGCCAGAATCAGTCCCCTTTCTCCTTGAAGTGCTCGAACCAGCCCCTCTGCGTCCTGACGGCAGGTCCCTCGTGCCTCCCCGAGGAATGCCCCCTCCTAGAGCAAAATTCTTTCCCACGACTCAGACCCCTTGGTAGTGGCTGCCTGGAGGACCGTGTTGAGAAGGATCCTGAGGCTGCACCTAGGGGAGAGTGCTGTGGTTGATTAGCAATGTCTGCCACGCGTGCGGATAAGGAGCATGGTCTAGGTTCTGCCTTCCCTGGCTGCGGGTCGCAGGGCCCAGACCGAGACAGGCACAGGGCGTGGTCTTGTCTTGGAGCCTCAGTGTTCTCATCTCTACAATGGGGTGGATTAAAGGACATTTCCAGCAACAAAGTCCTTGGCTCCCAATCCAGGTTCTGACCACAGTGAGACCTGGGAGGGAACGTGCCACTGCCTCACGGGTCTTCATTCGTCCAGGAAAACAGGAAAAGCCACTGAAAATGAATCCACTTCGAAAGAGGAACACGTTTTTTCATACCTAGTGGGGGGAGAATAGTGGCATTGGTAGTTGACTTGACAAAACAAAAGTACAAATCTTGAAGTTTATTTTGTCAAACATTTAACAAAATCTAGATTATGATTGTGCCCCTATTTTGGAACACAGTGAAACAATGAATGTTAGGGGAGTGGGAAGGTATTAAATCTTCCACCAAAATTGCCCGACGGGGCAATACATTGTCACTTCTTGGTGGCGGTGGTGGTGGTGTCATTTTGGCCGTAGGATAATACAGACATTTTTGCAAAAGTATCCCAGGGCTTCTCAGTTTCCTCACGTTTTCCTGCCCCGTGAAGCCTTCCTGCGTCTCTGAGGCCCACGCCCTGGGGACCGGTGGCCGCAGAGCTGAGGACTCTGAGGAGTTTTCAGCACCGCTGACTCCGTGAGGCCCGGACCCTCTCGGGGAGTGCGGGTTTGTGCTCGCTGTATCGGCCCCACATCTGGGACACTCAGGACATGCCACTCTGAGTGGGAGCCCGGCCAGGAGAGACACCGGCCTGGTGGCTGGACAGGGGGCTCAGAGTTGGGGGGACCAGGTCGGTTTACTATAGTCCACATTGCCAGGGTGTCTTGTCTCCACAGCCTGCCTGGAAGCTTTGGGGCCCAAACAAGGAGTTCCCGGGTGGTGAGGACCCCGGTGCCCCAGGCCGACATCTTAGTGGCCTCTGAGTCCCCATGTTCATCCTGGCCCAGAGACCCCTGTCCCCCATCCCCCATCCAGCCCTTTCGGGGGTGAGGGGTGAGCCCCAGCCCCCCACCAAGGCCTCTCTCTCCCCGGACCCTCCAGGCTGGGGCTGCCCACCCCTCTTCTGCTACACCGATTATCTCCAGACGGTCACCTGCACGCTGGAGATGTGGACCCTGCACCCCAGCACCCTCACGCTTGCCTGGTAAGTGGCTGGGCCTCGCCAGCCCTGGGGACAGGGCTCAGGGCGCCCGGAGGGCTGGGCTGGGGCCGGACTGCAGGAGAGGCTGAGTTGGACCTGTGTGCACCTGGCCAATGATTTAGTGACAACAGGAGTGGCTGCCTCGTCCTGGCTCAGCCAGTCCACCCCAGGAAGACGCTGTGAGCTGGGGACCACTGCGCCCTCCTTACAGGTGACCACTCGGGGCTCACGGGACTTGCCTGAGCACATGGTCAGGTGGCCACAGGGCTGCTCTGTCCAGCTTCAGAAGGTCACTCTCTCGTCCACACAGGCCTGCCCGTGGTTTTAAGGCCCCAGGGCGGTCCATCCCCGGTGTCATGTTTCGAGCACTTAGCAGATGGCCGGCCTCCTGCTAGGGCGTCACATGAATGAATGATCACTTCCAACTCTCCCATTTTACAGATAAGGACACTGAGGTTCAGAGAGGTTAAGCAACTTGCCCAAGGTCACACAGCCAGTGAATGGTGGAGCTCGGGCTGATTCGAATTCAGGCTGCCCGATGCCAAAATCGATGGGTCCTTATTAGTCCACACAGAGCTCTGGACGAGGAAGCGCTGCCTTTCATTCTGTTATCCGCCAGCTCACTCATTCATTCAAAACACGTTTACGTTCCGGCCAGACGCTGTTGCAGGGGTTGGGGGCTGAGCAGGGCTGGAGCCTGACAGGGGCCGATGTCTCTGAGCTGACGCACCACAGGGGGCGGGGGCTGGGGGAGCCGGACCGTAAACACAGATGGCATGCGGGATGCTTTCTGATAGCATTCGCTGTAGAGCACAGGACGCTGGCCCTGCGAGGGACAGCACGTGACATGGCGAGGGTCTGTTTCGGCCCAGGGGGGCGGGGCAGGCTCCCCGGGCGAGCAGGAGGGGCGTTCTGGGCAGAAGCACGGCACGTGCAAAGGCCCCGAGGGGGACGAGCTGGTGAGTGTGCAGGACAGAGAAGAGGGCCGTGTGGCCGGAGCGGAGACAGCCAGGGCGAGGCAGAATGACAAGCAGAGAGGACCAGGAGTAGGCAGGGGCCAGATCTCTCTGTGCAGGAGGAGAGAAGCTGCTGGAAGCTTTTAGGCAGGGGATGACAGGGACTCTTTAAAGATCCCCCTGGCTGGGGATAGATTTCAGGGAGGGCAGGAACACCTCCAGGCAGACATCGCCGTGGTCCAGACTGGAGAATTGGAGAGTGTTTATTCAGCAGAAGTTACTTCCGAAGTTCCTGCTGCAGCAAACTTAGCAGCGAACTTAGTCCGCACGTCTCTACTGGCCCTGGAGGCTGGTCATGTTCAGAACCTGAACGTGTAGGGAAATAAATATCTGGTGAACTCCTATACATACTTCAACACCCGTCATTTTTGTCCAGTGGGAGTTAAAAGGCCAAAGCATTTCCCCAACCCCCAACCTCTCCCACCTGCCAGCTCCCCTGGAAGGTCACGCAGAGCAGGGGATGACCTTCATTTCAGTCCTATCCCAGCGCTCAGCACAGGCTCTAACCAGGCATTCAGTGGATATTGGCCACAGTGCTCCGTCCCCTTCCTGTGGGACAGCAATTGGGTGGTTGGAATTGACAGGGACAGATGTAGACTTGGTCCAAGCAAGAATGGCTCAAATTTCCAAAGTTCACAGCTGCTGCCCTAAATGAGGTAGTGAGTTCCTGGTCCCTTGGAGGCATGCAAGCAGAGCCTGGACACAATCCATGCAGGGGAGGGGACGCCTTCCTCAGGAGAGAGTTGGCTGGACTAGGCGACCCCCAGCCCCACCTCAGACCCCTCCCAGCCCTCAGATTCTAGGCTTCTGCCCCCGACAAGCACCGATCCCCCCTGGCCTCCGGCCGTGACCCGCTGCTCTGTCCTTAAAGGCAAGACCAGTATGGAGAACTGGAGGATGAGGTCACCTCTTGCAGCCTCCACAGGTCCACCCACAACACCACGCATGCTAAGTACACATGCCACATGGATGTGTTCCGCCTCATGGCCGACGACATTTTCAGCGTCAACATGACAGACCAGGCTGGCAACCACTCCCAGGCGTGCGGCAGCTTCATCCTGGCGGAGAGCAGTGAGTACCCTTTGGGCCCCAGGCGGAGGAAAACCCAGGTGGGGGGTGGACCCCTGCCCTCTGGGTGCCCCCTGCCCTGTTCGGTATCCTCACCACCCTGCTTTTTAGATGTACTACTTTTTACTAAGGTGTGATGGGTTGACATTAGGTTTGGGCCTTTACCCCAAAGAGAGGCAGCAGAGCTATGGAAAAGGGCTGCCTGGGACTGGGGACTGCTGGGCTTCTGTTCGGGCCCAGCCCCTGCCTGTCTGTGTCACCTTGGACAAGGCACACCTGCCTCTGGGACTGTTCCCCCATTTGTGCAGTGTTCGCCCTGTCCACCCTGACGCTCTGGGATTCTGTCCCCATGAGGAGGCAAGCAGAGGACACTGAGTCACAAGAGAAAAGTTCCAGAGTTCCCTCCCTTCATTGGCTGCAGGGCGCGGGCTGGAGAGGGGGGACGGGGGCAGGGGCCCGGCTGGCGGAGGCAGTTGCATCAGCGGGTTTGGGCCCACACACGGCAGGGCAGAGAAGGAGGCTTGCAGCTGCCACTACCCCTTGCAGGGTGGCCCCAAGTGGCATTTCTCTGTGGCTCCCTCCCTCCCTCCCTCCCTGTCAGGGTCTGAGACCAGCCTGGGCCAGCTGGGGCAGGAAGCGATTTTCTGACCATCACCCCCAGCCCACCGTGGGCCCATCCTCCTGCGGGGCCCTGGGCCTCTCTGCGCTGAGCAGCCTCCTCCTCGGCCCCGGGACACGCAGACGTTTCCCGAGTGTCTGTAGGGAGGTTCTTGGTCACCCGTGCCCCCCTACTTGGGTCCTCACCACCCAGCCCAGGCATCCCCCTGCCCTGGGGACGAGAAAAGAAGGCTTAGGGACTGTTTGGGTGAAAAAGGTCCCATCACGGAAATAGCCACGGCAGCCATGCAGCATTCCTGAATTCCATCTCCCACTGGGCCGTGGGGACAGCCCGCAGTGCAAGTTTCACAACCGACCATAAGCAGCTCCGTAGCTCTGTGTTGGAAGCCCCAGAGGCTCGGTTGTTAACTTGACAACTATTTGCTGAGGGCCTACTGTGCGCCGGGCTCTGTTCCAGGAGCCGTGGGCGCAGATGGGGCGGGGACTGCCAGCCCACTGCCCCGAGACGCTGGCCCGGGCAGGGGCAGGCGGCAGACAGACGGCAGAGGGAGGAAAGTGCAGGGCGCTGCACGGTGGCAAGCAGCAGACCAGGTGGGCTCCGAGGGCAGAGGCCACCGTCCTGACACTGCCAGGACACTTGTCATGTGGTCTGCCTGAAGTTGCCGCCGCCTGCTATTCAGCTTGGTCCCTGTGAATGCGAAGCCCCGTGACAAAGGAGCTGGCACCATTTTACGGAGAGGCAATTAAGGCACGAGACGTCCTGCTCAAGTTCATAAGACAAAACTGGGCCAAAGCAAAGCTGGAGTGCTGGCTTTGACCTTCAACTGGGGGGCGTCCTGGAGGCTTGGGGTTGTGGCCCAGAGCTCGGCCCCTGCTCTTGCTTAGAAGGTGTCCAAAAGATGAGGACAGTTAAACCCAGCTCACTCTCGGGGCCACGGCAGGTGCCACTCCGCCCCATGCAGGGCAGCTGGGTGGCGTTAAGGAAATGGCAGGCTTGGTCGAGAGCGTTCATTTGTGCTGGCTAGAGCCGGCGCCGGGCCGGCCGCTCTTAGCTCCGGAGCACCCCGTTTTTCCAAGGTCCCCCAACCTGCTTCGCCCGTTTCTGTTGTGCCTACCTCTGAGTTGGCAACCCTGGTCTAATCTAAGCCTCTTATTTTTCCTTGAAGAAACTGAGGCCCAGACGCAGGGAGTGCTCTGCCCAAAGTCACTCGGGGCTGCTAGTCCCGATCTCGGAAAGGATGGGTCGGGCTTGGCATCGGGGAGGCACGTCTTCCCGCCACCAGACCCTCCTCGTCTGCAGCCTCACCTCGTCCTGTTTTATCTTTCTGGGTTTTTCCACCTAGTCAAGCCAGCTCCCCCTTTCAACGTGACCGTGACCTTGTCGGAACAGTACAACATCTCCTGGCGCTCCGACTACGAAGACCCCGCGTTCTACGCGCTGCGGGGCAAGCTGCAGTACGAGCTGCAGTACAGGAACCGGGCCGACCCCTGGGCCCTGGTGAGGAAGGGGAGGGTCTGCCCCACCCCGCTCTGGGCGCGGGGAGGAGAGGGTGTCCAGGTGGGAGGGGGAGCCTAGGCATTCTTGGCCCAGGCCAGAAACCTGGGGTTCGATGAGAGTATGAGCACTCCCCGAGGTGCCTCCCCTGTCCTCTCCCGCCTTCTCCCTGGGGTAGGAGACCCCTCGTGCACCCCTCCCACTGTCCCCGTCTCCTCCTCTGTCGGCATGCTGGGAAGGAAGGGACTGTCACCTCCCCAGCTCCCATCTCGAGTCCAGAGCAGTCACAGTGGAGGGAGTTTCAGAGATGGGCAGTTGGGAACCTTCCCACCCGGTCAGTCTGGCCATGGGTGGAGAGTTCCAGAAATATGAATAACTGAGAAGGTCCGGTGTCAGAGGGTCCATTGTTTCAGACTCGGAGAGGTGTCCTTCCAGCCCACTATTTAGAAGTCACAGCTGAAGAGTTCTAGAATGATCTGTCCTTTAGAATGCTGCCCGTTGAAGACGTTCACAAATGGCATAGTTTAGCATGTCCCCAGTGGAAGACTCCCAGGGGTACCCACTCCAAGATGGCTATAGTCGGAGACTTCCAGAAACGCCCACTATTGGGAATGTCGACATGTCCAGTGGGATTCCGGTAGTGCCGTTTGTCTGGAATGCTTCCAGACCGCTGCCCCTCCGTGGCCATCCCTGTCCCAGCAGGGAGGGTGTGCGAGTGGGTGAGTTGGGATCAGAGAGAAGGAGGACGAAGGGCCGTGTTGCGGGCCAGGCCGAGTACTGGGTCAGCGCTGCCCACGCTTGGGTGGCCGGAGCTCGGGCGTGGCCCGGTTCTGGCGGGGGAGGAAGAGACGGCTCCTCTGGCGGGGGCTGGCAAAGGGCCGGCCTGGGGGAACGCGACCCCAGGCAGGCGCCCTTTCCCTGTGCCGGCAGAGTCCCAGGAGAAAGCTGATCTCGGTGGACTCGAGAAGTGTCTCCCTCCTCCCGCTGGAGTTCCGCAAAGACTCGAGCTACGAGCTGCAGGTGCGGGCGGGGCCCCGGCCCGGCTCCTCCTTCCGGGGCACCTGGAGCGAGTGGAGCGACCCAGTCATCTTTCAGACCCAGCCAGAGGGTAGGTGTGAAGCTGGCGTGGACACCCCATTCCTGGTACCGAATCTCGTCTCGGTCCAGCCACCGCCAGCCCTGCGCCTCCTGGCACTCTGGGAGGTGTGGCTCACCCCCAGCTGCGTGGGGCCTGGCTGCTGCTTTCGTCAGGCGTTTGATCCTCCTGATTCTGAAGCGGGAATCATTATGCCCATTTTGCAGATGAGGAGACTGAGGCTCAGAGAGATGATAGTACTTGCCTGGGGTGGGGGAGGAGAGCAGGACTTGCGCCCAGATCCATCCCACTTCAAGGCTCTGGCAGCCTCCCCGCCCCTTCTGCTCCAGCCCACACCTGTTTCTCGGCCACATCGTCCCCCACCCCCTCCCCCCATGGCCTCTGGTAGAGCTGGTGCCATTTAACCCTTTATTTGCCTCCTGCCCAGAGTCAAAGGAGGCCTGGGACCCTCACCTGCTGCTCCTCCTGCTCCTGCTCGTCGGGGCCTGCAGCCTTGTCGTCTGGAGCCTGAAGTCCCGCCCGTCCTGGAGGTGAGGCCAGGACATCGGGGAGGCAGGGAGGTGGTTGGCCTGGGCCACAGCCCCTCTATGACCCACCCCGGGGCGGGGGACACACCTGTCATCATGACAGCGGTGACGATGATGGCGATATACCCAGTTCCTGGAAGTTATCGTGCACCTGTGCATGTGACACCCCACAGTTACCCCTATTTTACAAGTGGGGAAACTGAGGCACAGAGCATCCGAGGAACTTGCCCAAAGTCGCACAGCTCTGGAGTGGAGGCTGCGGGACGGAAACCCCGTCCTCTTAAACAGGGCCCTCCGCCATCATTCTGTCCGGAGAATTTGAACCTATGAGGCCCAAGGGGCACCGGGCCAGCGGGTGGGGTGGGGGGGCCAGTGTGACAGCCGCACACGTCCCTGGCTGTCCCCGAGGACGCGGTGGTTCAGAAGGGGGTGGCACTGGCCTGGCACGCGGAGGACAGCCAAGCCGGGTTCCCGCCGGGTCTCCAGGGAGCTGCGAGGGAGACGTGCTGCCCCCACTTTACAGATGTGGAAACTGAGCCCCGGGAGGGGAGGGAGGTGCAGAGCTGGGGCGGCTGAGTGGACAGCGGCTGGCTGCCCTCTGCGTGCTGTCGGGGCCTCACCCGTCTCTGCCCCGCCCCAGGCTGTGGGAGAAGGTGTGGCCGGTGCCCAGCCCCGAGCAGTTCTTCCAGGCCCTGTACGACGGCCACAGAGGGGACTTCAAGGTGAGTGCGACAAGCCCCTCTGAGCCCCTTCTCTTGGGAGCCCTGCCCCACCCTCACCCCGGCCCCCAGCTCACCCTGCAGGCCCACAGCACCAGGCCCCAGCCAGGCCTCAAGTCAAGCCTCAGTTTCCCCATCTGTAAAGTGCAGACCATCACTCCCGTGGTGCAGAATTGGCATAAGAATTAACCAGGATCGGGCAGCGCTGCCCAGCCCAGGCAGCCAAACTAGGCGGGAGCCTGGTGGTGCCTGGAGCCACACATTGGCCTCCAGATCCTTTCTCAGGTGTCCTTGCTCCGGGTGGAGGGGGACCGGGTTCTGGGAAGGTCTGGCCCCGCCTGCACAACACACTGACCTGGGCCAAGCCGCCACCTCCCCGTTAGGGCTCCTCAGCCTCCCTGCGGCAGAGGGAGGGGCCGCGCAGAGAGGATGTGGTGGGGGAGGGCAGCCCCACCCGGCCCGCCCACCGGGAAGTCAGGCAGCGCCACCGACCAGAGCGCGGACTGGCACCTGCTGTTGGCCTGGCGCTGCTCCGGGCGCCCCCACCCCCACCCACAGAGCGGCCCTGCCGAGTGGCTGCTCCACCATCCCCAGAGTACCCACGAGGGCACCCAGGCTCGGAGAGCGGCGGCCACTTACGTGGGGCAGGGGAGGAACCTGGGCCCCAGCCCACATGCGACTCCCCCTTTCCTCCCCCCAAAACTCAGATATCACGTTTATTGTGGGATTCTTCCAGTCCTCCTACGACACTTGCCGTGTACTGGGCACTGTGCTAGGAGCTTCAAAATCGTTAGCGCATTTAACCCGCACGGCAGCCCGACGGGTGGGTACTACTATTAAGTCTAGTTTACAGATGGGGAAACTGAGGCCCAGAGAGGGCAAGCAAAGGGCTCAAGGGCACACAGCTTAGAAGTGACTTCAAATCAGTGAGTTCTCGTCATGGTTCTGAGATGAGTTTTCTGAGGAAGATCATGTCACGACTGGGGGATTCCCATCCCGGGGGACTTTCTCTGCCGATTGGATGGAGGTCCCTGTGTCAGGAGTGGGACCCTGGCTAGGGAGGGCAGGAGGGTCCTCAGAGCTTACGGGCCTCAGCCAGCAGCACCCGCAGCCCTTCCCTGCAACGTGTGCAAAGCCCTTTCCAAGTGGCTTTTCCTCGATTCAGTCCACTCATGTTTATTTAGTGAATAAACATTTATTGAGCACCTGCTGTGTGCCAGGCACTGGGGACACAGCTGTGGACTGAAGAGATGGGTCCTCTGCCCCCGCTGAGTGTTGGTCTGGTGGGGACATAAACAGGGGAATGCTGGGCTCCTGGAAATTTCAAGGAGGCAGTAAAGCAGGGGATGGGGTAGGGGCTCTGTCACGCAGACCTCAGGCCCTCTTGCCCCCATGTCCCCTAGACTGGGGAATCTTGTCCCCTGCCCAGGCCACGGGACCGCCGCTTGTCTGAGTGGGCAGGCTACTGAGGCAGCAGCAACTCCTTGCTACAGGTGGGGAAACTGAGGCCCAGAGTGGGGCGAGGACAATGGCCGGGACCCCCACTGCACAGGGGCACATCATGGCTCTGGGTCCTCTCTCCCTTTCTCTGTCTCGCTGTGTCTCTGTGTCCCTCTGTCCTTGTCTCTTGCTGTCCCGTTGCCTTGTCTCTGTGTCTGTGTCCTCATGGCCTCAAGTCACCCCACCCTGTCCCTGACTCCTTTGCTCTCCCGCAGAAATGGGTGGGCGCACCTTTCACCGCCTCCAGCCTGGAGCTGGGGCCCCGGAGCCCAGGGCCCCCCTCGTCCCTGGAGGTGTGTAACTGCCGCGAGCGGCCGGCGCCCACCGAGCTGCCAGAGCTGGCAGACCTGCTGGAGTCCGACGGCCTGCCCGAGCCCAGCTGCTGGGGCCCCGCGCCCTCCGCGGCCCGCAGCCCCCGCGGCTCTGCCTGCAGCGAGGAGCGGGACCGGCCGTATGGCCTGGTGTCCGTGTCCATTGACACAGTGACGGTGGCGGACGCAGAGGGGCCCGGCTCCTGGCCCTGCAGCTGTGGGGACGACGGCTACCCAGCCCTGGACCTGGATGCCGGCCTGGAGCCCGGGCCGGGCCTGGAGGGCCCACTGTCCGTCACGAGGACCGCTGTCCTCTCCTGCGGCTGCGTCTCGGCTGGTGGGCCCGGGCTGGCAGGGACCATGGGCAGCCTCCTGGACAGGCTCCGGCTGCCCCTCGCAGACGAGGAGGGCTGGGCCGTGGGGCCGCCCTGGGGTGACAGGCCGCCCGGAGAGGCCTCGGAGAGTGAGGCGGGCTCGCCCCCCGTCGGCCTGGACATGGACACCTTTGACAGCGGCTTCGCGGGCTCTGACTGTGGCAGCCCTGTGGAGTGTGACTTTGCTGGCCCCAAGGATGAAGGGCCCCCCAGGAGCTACCTCCGCCAGTGGGTGGTCATGGCCCCCCCACTCTCAGGACCTGAGCCGCAGGCCAGCTAATGAGGCTGACTGGCCGTCCAGAGCTGGCCAGGCCACTGGGCCCCAAGCCAGAGACATGGTCACCTGGGCTGCAATGTGAAGAGACCTGCAGCCTTTGGTCTCCCTGATGTGCATCTGAGCCTGATGTTTACAGTGTGTGTGTGTGCATGTGCGTGTGCGTGCACAGTGCCTGTGTACATGAATGTGCATGTGTGTGCACAGTGCCTGTGTATATGAATGTGCATGTGTGCGCACAGTGCCTGTGTACATGAATGTGCATGTGTGTGCACAGTGCCTGTGTACATGAATGTGCATGTGTGTGCACAGTGCCTGTGTACATGAATGTGCATGTGTGTGCACAGTGCCTGTGTATATGAATGTGCATGTGTGCGCACATGTACATGAATGTGCATGTGTGTGCACAGTGCCTGTGTACATGAATGTGCATGTGTGTGCACAGTGCCTGTGTACATGAATGTGCATGTGTGTGCGCAGTGCCTGTGTATATGAATGTGCAGGTGTGCATGTGCCTGTATACATGAATGTGCACGTTTGTGCATGAATGTGCATGTGTGTGCACAGTGCCTGTGTACATGAATGTGCATGTGTGTGCATAGTGCCTGTGTACATGAATGTGCATGTGTGCATATGCCTGTATACATGAATGTGCACGTGTTTGCATGTGTCCATGTGCACGAGTGTGCATGTGTGTGCATATGTGCCTGTGTATATGAATGTGCATGTGTGTGCATGTGTACATCTATGCCCGTGTGGATGTGTGCATGTGTGTGTTCGCGAGTGTGCACTTGTATGCATGCACACGTGTGTGCGTGTGGGCATGCACGTGTATGTGTGTGCACATGTGCATACATGTGCATTGTGGCTCAGGTGCGCACTGGCATGTCCATGTGTGTGCATTGCATGTGCCCACAGACACAAGAGCACACCCATGGTATGCCATATGTTTGCCTGCACATGCATGTCTGAGCCTGTGGAGCTCCCGGCTGTGAGCAGCAGCCAAGCCTGTGGTACGCAGGTGACAGACTCCCTCCCCTCCAGGGTCGCCCCGGGGGCCTCCTGGGATCAGGGAATTACACCAGGCACAGCCTCCAGGACCTGCTCCAGGAGACACAAGAAGTCCACACTGTTCCTTATCCGCCCCCAGCAGCAAGGGGAAGGGGACAGAGTGTGCCTGCAGTGACTCTGGGGGTGGAAGAATTAGGGGCCCACGGTTGCAGGTCTGAATCCCAACTCTGACGCCTCCTGGCTGCGCTCCCTGGGGCAAGTGGCTTCCCCTCTCTGAGCTAGAGCTTCCCTGTCGGGTCGATGGGGGTGGCACGGCCTGCCTGGGGGAAGTGGGCCAGGCCGCCCACGTGCAGTGTGCAGCCCGGAGCGGACCCTCCGTGAACGTCAGCTTCCTTCCTTCTGCGGCCAGGACCACGGCTCGCGCAGGAGGCAGCGGGGCGAGAAAAGCAGCCAACAGTGACAGCCGGCGCCTGCGGGGTTGTCCCACCTGCAGAGGGGCACGAGGGGGCTTTCCAGGCCTCAGATCAATCCGCCTTGTCTCTTAGAAACGGTCCCCCACCACCCAAGATTTCCTTTCCTGGCTTCTGCTGCCCGTGAAAAATAACCCCCCTCTACGCACCCAAGAGCTATTTATTGAGCACAGAGTCCTTGCCAGGCAACGGCCCGCGTGGCCCCCTGGGGCACTCGTGGCGGGCAGAGGAGGGTCGGCAAGCGTGGCAAGGTCGCTCGGCTCCATGTCACCCCCATGAGCTCGGCTCACCCTTGCCACCCGACTTGTTCGTCCTGGGGAGTTAGGGGGAGTCAAGCTGCTTGTCAATGGTCTCTCAGAAAGCCTGTTGAAATGTGAATCAAGAAACTAATAAAATACTTCCTAGCATGGTTTTGAAGGCACCTCACTGAACATCAGTTTAATACAGAAGCCAGGTCTAGGTGCTAGGCATTGTATACAACTCATGCTTTTTGTTTTTTTTTTTTTAAAGAAAATAGACTATTTTCCCTCTAAGGGTGCCCATCTCAGAGGTGGCCTGGCTTTCTCAAGACCAAGCGGGGTGAAGGCGGCGGAGAGTGTGATTCAGCTCAGGAGCCTTGAGGGGGAGCCCCCACCCAGCCCCCCCACCCCCCGGGCCCCACCGCGTCCCCGGGGGGCCAGGCTGCCGGGCGCCACCTAAAAGAGACGGCTCTGGCTGGTCTCTGCTCTGGGAGGGGGCCGGGTTAGAGGTCAGCAGAAGTCAGTCCTGCCGCAAGCTTCCCCGTGACTCATCTGTAAAATGGGGTGGTCTGGAGAGGTCGCTGAATGTCTGAGAGTCCTTGGTGGTGCCTGGCACGAGGCCGGAAAGTTCTAGAACACTGATGGCTTGCATGCCGGGACGATGAACTTGGCGTCAGGGTGTGTGAGGCTCAGGCGGGAGCACGAGCATGAAACCACAGCTCCTGCACGGGTGAGCAGACCTCACCGTCCTCCCCCAGCACCCTAGAGACTCTTGGGGCAAGGTGTGCTGTGGTTTTCACACCCTCTTGGGGCTGACAGGTTCCAAGTGCCACCTGAGCCACGGGCTCTCCGGGGAACAGCTCAGCTCTCCTGCACACAGAGCTCAGCGGGGGTGGGGGAGGGGACGACCTGAGACTGATGGCGGCCGGGCCTGGGGCAATGGCCCAGGGCAGAAAAGGGTCTCAAAATGCCAGCTTTGAAGGGGACTCAGCTAAAACATGGGCACAAACGGTTGGAGCTAAGAACCGGCCCACCTGGAGGGTGGATTAGCAGGCAGGAGGGGGATGGAGGATGGAAGGATGGTGAAGAGCTTGGAGGAGGAGCGGTTGGATGGACACACAGAGGTAAACTGCCGCTGGTGCAGAGACGGAGCGAGAACACAGCCCCGCGAGGCCGGCAGCTGTGTCTGCCCCATTCACTGGCACACAGTAGGCGCTCAACAAAGCCTGACTTGCAGCGTTTGCTTATTTCTATGGCGTAAATACTTCCACCGTGGCCACGTTCAAGCTTCTAACTTGACTCCAAGCACAGAGCTGGGAAGAGACGCCCACGGTCGGCTCTCCTGCTAGTCTCAGCCACTCCGGCGCACTGTCGCTGGGAGCCCAGAGGGGACATCACAGGGGGCTTCAGGGAGGAGGTGGTGTTTGTTGGACTTTGAAAAATGCACAGTAGGCCGTGCGCGGTGGCTCACGCCTGTAATCCTAGCACTCTGGGAGGCCTAGGTGGGCGGATTGCTCGAGGTCAGGAGTTCAAAACCAGCCTGAGCAAGAGCGAGACCCCGTCTCTACTATAAATAGAGATAAATTAATTGGCCAACTAATATATATAGAAAAACAATTAGCTGGGCATGGTGGCGCATGCCTGTAGTCCCAGCTTCTCAGGAGGCTGAGGCAGCAGGATTGCTCGAGCTCAGGAGTTTGAGGTTGCTGTGAGCTAGGCTGACGCCACAGCACTCACTCTAGCCTGGGCAACAGAGTGAGACTCTGTCTCAAAAAAAAAAAAAAAAGAAAGAAAGAAAGAAAAATGCACAGGAGTTGTTAGGGGCACCAGCTATTCCAGGCAGAAGGAGGAGCTTGGGCGAAGGCCTGGAGGTGTGACCAAGGACCAGGGAGCAAGTGGGCAAGGCGGCTGCGTGTCCCCCAGCGTCCAGGCCAGAATTGGCAATGACCTTCTCTTAAGAGGAAGGAGGATTGAAAGCCACCCCCACCACGGAGGCCCCAGCCCGCTCCTTGCCACCTGCAGGCTCTGAGGGGACAGGGTTCCATCTGACAGATGAGTTGAATGCACAGAACGGCTGGTGACCTGCCAGTGCTCAGAGTCAGAACCTCAACTCTGGTCACCTTGCTCTGCAGGAAGGGACTTAGACCAAAAGGTAAGAAACTCAGCAAACACCTGCGGGTGCCCTGTTGCTTTTGCCTGTACAGTGTAGCCTTGTGGGAGTGGCCGACCCAGCTCTGAGAGTGGCGACATGACCCCAGCCTGGCCAACAGAGCGTTCCATCTGCCCTGGCAACAGTACAGGGCAGGGGCAGACACGTGACATGCTGCCCATGCTCTCTTTCTGCTGGGCTCCCTGGGCTGTAGGGAGGCACCAGGAGGGGACAGCTTGCCTGAGATGAAGCCAGCACACAAGAAAGCAGAGCTGAGAGATGCAGACATATTCCCTGTGATATCTCTTGGGCTCCTGGATCCAGCCATGCCTGAAAGCACATTCCTCCTCCTGGACATCTTAGGAAGTCATTACGCTATCCACTAAAGAGTTCCAGCTTTTGCCCTTCTGGGCCCATGGCAGGACTCTACCTCCTGGCCCTTTGTGACCAGGCAGGGCCACATGACGGCCGGCCAGTGAATTGTGAGCGGGAGTGGCAAGGCTCAGTCCGGACGGAGCATTTTGCTGATGAGGGCCGTGATAGCCCCTAGAGTGTGTTCCCGTCGGCCGCGGTGACCGGTGGTGGTTGAGAAGGAGACTGCTCCCTCACCTGGGCTCTAGGGAGGAGACACGGGCCGGAGCCGCCGTCCCGCTGCGCTGGACCCACCCTTTGTTCCCGCTGCTGTGATGAGGGCTGTCTGTCACCACAGCACAGCCCAGCCCATCCTGACGGAGCCCACGAGCTGGCACATTTCCGTGTCTGGCTTACCCTGGTTTGAGGTGAGTTTCTGTCATGTGCAGCAGAAAGAGTTCCGGCGTTGTGTTTGCATCGCCCAGCGGTGAGGATGCTCTTTCTGTCCCGAGGAAGGGCCCCATTCAAAGGGACCAGAGGACCAGGCTCCACCCTTTCCCAAGAATGACCTGGAGCAAGTCGTCTGCTGTCTCTGAGCCTCAGTTTCCTCTCTTGTAAGGTGGAGCAGGAATCAGCCTCACGGCTTGCTCTGGGGATGAACAGACAGGGTGGGGTCCGCCCTCGTTAGATGTGGGTTTCCTTCTTTCTAGCATCACCTGGAGCCGGGCTCGGGGCAGAGGAGACGGGGCTGTGGCCCCACCCCTTCCCCGTCTCCTCTGCAGAGAGTTCTAGAAGGCTTCCAGCCAGGTGCCCTGCAGCTTGCATCGCCCCTGCCAGGATCTAAGGCCCCCAGAACCCACCTCCGCGACCAACAGTGACTGCGAGG